ATTCCTTCCTTCTCTGGTCTAAAACTGGCTTCTCTGGCTTGAACCGAGGCCAGGAAATTCCTTCCTTCTCTGGTCTAAAACTGGCTTCTCTGGCTTGAGCCGAGGCCAGGAAATTCCTTCCTTCTCTGGTCTAAAACTGGCTTCTCTGGCTTGAACCGAGGCCAGGAAATTCCTTCCTTCTCTGGTCTAAAACTGGCTTCTCTGGCTTGAGCCGAGGCCAGGAAATTCCTTCCTTCTCTGGTCTAAAACTGGCTTCTCTGGCTTGAACCGAGGCCAGGAAATTCCTTCCTTCTCTGGTCTAAAACTGGCTTCTCTGGCTTGAACCGAGGCCAGGAAATTCCTTCCTTCTCTGGTCTAAAACTGGCTTCTCTGGCTTGAGCCGAGGCCAGGAAATTCCTTCCTTCTCTGGTCTAAAACTGGCTTCTCTGGCTTGAGCCGAGGCCAGGAAATTCCTTCCTTCTCTGGTCTAAAACTGGCTTCTCTGGCTTGAGCCGAGGCCAGGAAATTCCTTCCTTCTCTGGTCTAAAACTGGCTTCTCTGGCTTGAACCGAGGCCAGGAAATTCCTTCCTTCTCTGGTCTAAAACTGGCTTCTCTGGCTTGAGCCGAGGCCAGGAAATTCCTTCCTTCTCTGGTCTAAAACTGGCTTCTCTGGCTTGAACCGAGGCCAGGAAATTCCTTCCTTCTCTGGTCTAAAACTGGCTTCTCTGGCTTGAACCGAGGCCAGGAAATTCCTTCCTTCTCTGGTCTAAAACTGGCTTCTCTGGCTTGAGCCGAGGCCAGGAAATTCCTTCCTTCTCTGGTCTAAAACTGGCTTCTCTGGCTTGAGCCGAGGCCAGGAAATTCCTTCCTTCTCTGGTCTAAAACTGGCTTCTCTGGCTTGAACCGAGGCCAGGAAATTCCTTCCTTCTCTGGTCTAAAACTGGCTTCTCTGGCTTGAGCCGAGGCCAGGAAATTCCTTCCTTCTCTGGTCTAAAACTGGCTTCTCTGGCTTGAGCCGAGGCCAGGAAATTCCTTCCTTCTCTGGTCTAAAACTGGCTTCTCTGGCTTGAGCCGAGGCCAGGAAATTCCTTCCTTCTCTGGTCTAAAACTGGCTTCTCTGGCTTGAACCGAGGCCAGGAAATTCCTTCCTTCTCTGGTCTAAAACTGGCTTCTCTGGCTTGAGCCGAGGCCAGGAAATTCCTTCCTTCTCTGGTCTAAAACTGGCTTCTCTGGCTTGAGCCGAGGCCAGGAAATTCCTTCCTTCTCTGGTCTAAAACTGGCTTCTCTGGCTTGAGCCGAGGCCAGGAAATTCCTTCCTTCTCTGGTCTAAAACTGGCTTCTCTGGCTTGAGCCGAGGCCAGGAAATTCCTTCCTTCTCTGGTCTAAAACTGGCTTCTCTGGCTTGAGCCGAGGCCAGGAAATTCCTTCCTTCTCTGGTCTAAAACTGGCTTCTCTGGCTTGAACCGAGGCCAGGAAATTCCTTCCTTCTCTGGTCTAAAACTGGCTTCTCTGGCTTGAACCGAGGCCAGGAAATTCCTTCCTTCTCTGGTCTAAAACTGGCTTCTCTGGCTTGAGCCGAGGCCAGGAAATTCCTTCCTTCTCTGGTCTAAAACTGGCTTCTCTGGCTTGAACCGAGGCCAGGAAATTCCTTCCTTCTCTGGTCTAAAACTGGCTTCTCTGGCTTGAACCGAGGCCAGGAAATTCCTTCCTTCTCTGGTCTAAAACTGGCTTCTCTGGCTTGAGCCGAGGCCAGGAAATTCCTTCCTTCTCTGGTCTAAAACTGGCTTCTCTGGCTTGAGCCGAGGCCAGGAAATTCCTTCCTTCTCTGGTCTAAAACTGGCTTCTCTGGCTTGAGCCGAGGCCAGGAAATTCCTTCCTTCTCTGGTCTAAAACTGGCTTCTCTGGCTTGAGCCGAGGCCAGGAAATTCCTTCCTTCTCTGGTCTAAAACTGGCTTCTCTGGCTTGAACCGAGGCCAGGAAATTCCTTCCTTCTCTGGTCTAAAACTGGCTTCTCTGGCTTGAACCGAGGCCAGGAAATTCCTTCCTTCTCTGGTCTAAAACTGGCTTCTTCGGCTTGAGCCGAGGTCAGGAAATTCTGTCCTTCTCTGGTTTAAAACTGGCTTCTCTGGCTTGAGCTGAAGCCAGGAAGTTCCTTCCTTCTCCAGTTTAAAACTGGCTTCTCTGGCTTAAGGAGAGACCAGGAAATTCCTTCCTTCTCTGGTTTAAAACCGAGTTCTCTGGCTTGAGGAGAGGTCAGTAAATAAATAATACTAGTAGTAGCAATATAGTGACAGTGCAACCTCTGGAACATTTCCTGCTTCTGTGCATCATTAGATCAGTGGCAAGAAAAAGGACGCAAAGCAAGACCATGTGTGTGTATGTGTGTTTTCCTTTTAATTGAAACCGGATGTTGCCAACTTTGCGGGAAGGGCAGCTTTGGGGGGACGGCTTTGCTTCCCGTAAGAGACCCCCATAACTTATAAACATGATTTACACTCAGTCTCTGGCGGCAGGAAGCAGCGGGCAGGCAAAGGCCCCATGTGCGCGCGCGCTCTCTGTCTCTCTCTCCATAGGTGGATGGGCTTTGTAGTTCTTTCTCTCTGCAGAGCAGGACTTTGCATCCGGTTTGGGAAGGAAGCCAGGAGGCCATGATATCCAGCAAACACAGCAGTGGAGGACGCGTCCTGAGCGATGCCAATGGCGGCCCGAGGGGTGACGAAAGGAAAGACCCCCAGAGTCATAGATATCCTGTCCCAACCCTCATAGTTTGGGACTTGGAAAACAAAAACACCCACAAAGCCGTATCCTCCCCACTGAATTAGCAGCCATAGAGAAAGGTGGATGCACCCCATTGACAAAGCAAGAGCTCCTCCTGGTGGCAGCTGGCAGAATAGAGCCCGGCTGGCATAAACCGTACCTTGGGGGGCAAATGAATTGGGGGGCCCTCTTGCCTGCCTTCCACGTTCCCTGAGAACCAGCAACTTGTTGTGGGATGGAGGGAGGGAGGTGCCTAGTATGTCATACTGGCAATGCCCAACACATCATGCTGCCACTGCCCCTTACATTATGGAAATGCCCAACGTGTTATGCCAGTATTGCCCAAAATGTTACATAACTATGCTGGCACTGCCCAACATCGTATTACGCTGGCAGTGCATGATGATGGCCATCATGTTATGCTGGCACTGCCCAACATACGTTTGCATTGAGCATTATTTTATACCCAACACATCATGCCAGCATTACCTAAAATATTATGCTGGCAGAGCGAAACATGTTATGATGGCTATCCTATTATGCTGGCACTGCCCAAAATGTTATACTGGCAATGCCCAACGAATGCTGGCATTATGCATTATTTTACACCGGCACTGCCCAACACATCATGCCAGCATTACCTAAAATATTATGCTGGCAGCACGAAACACATTATGATGGCTATCCTGTTATGCTGGCACTGCCCAGAATGTTATGCTGGCAATGCCCAACACACGCTGGCATTATGCATTATTTTACACTGGCACCACCCAACACATCATGCCAGCATTACCTAAAATATTATGCTGGCAGCACGAAACATGTTATGATTGCTATCCTGTTATGCTGGCACTGCCCAAAATGTTATGCTGGCAATGCCCAATACATGCTGACATTAAACTTTCTTTTACACTGGCACTGCCCAATACATCATGCTGGCACTGGCCAACATGTTATGCTAGCATTATCTAACACATTAAGCAGACAGTGTGTAATGATAGCAGTTGTGTTATACTGGCAATGCCCAACACATGCTGGCATTATGCATTATTTCACACTGGCAGCTGGTGCTTTCCACGTTGATATGCTGGCAATGCCCAACATGTTTTGCTATTATTACCAACACATTATGCTGACAGTGCATAACGGTAACTATTGTGTTTATACTGGCAATGCCCAAAACATTGTGCTAGTACTTTTCAAATTATTATGCTGGCAATGCCCAACACATGCTGGCATTATGCATTATTTTACACTGGCACTGCCCAACACATCATGCTGGCACTGACCAACATGTTATGCCAGCATTACCAACACATTATGCTGACAGTGTGTAATGATAGCCATCGTGTTATACTGGCAATGCCCAAAACATTGTGCTGGAACTGCCCAAATTGTGGTACTGGCAATGCCCAAAATGTTATGCTAGAATTACAAACACATTATGCTGACAGTGTGCAATGATAGCCATTGTGTTATACTGCCAATGCTCAAAACATTATGCTGGAACTGCCCAAAACATTATGCTGGCAATGCCCAAAATGTTATGCTAGCATTACCAAAACATTATGGTGACAGTGAATAATGATAGCTATCGTGTTATACTGGCGATGCCCAAAACATTATGCTGGCAATGCCCAAATTGTTTTGCTAGCATTACCAAAACATTATGGTGACAGTGCATAACGATAGCTATTGTGTTTATACTGGCAATGTCCAAAACATTATGCTGGAACTGCCCAAATTGTTATGCTGGCAATGCCCAACATATGTTGGCGCTGATCATTATTTTACACTGGCATTGCCCAACACGTTATGCTAGCATTCCCTAAAACATTACGCTGGAAGTGTGAAACACGTTATGACGGCCACCATGTTATGCTGGCACTGCCCAAAATATTATACTATCAATACCCAACCCATCATGCTGGCACTGCCTAATGATTGCCCTTATGTTATGCCGGCAATGCTCAAAACGTGCTGGAACTGCCCAAATGATTATGTTGGCATTGCCCATTATTTTACACTGGCGCTGCCCAACACATTATGCTGCCGCTGCCCAAACACGTTCTACTGGCACTGCCCATCGTGTCATGCTGGCACTGCCCAACCGCCCTGTGCCCTCTGGAACGGCAAAGGTAAATAAAAAAAGGGGGGGGAGAGGATGCAGGTGGGGAGGAGGCGCGGAGAGAGAGAGAACGAGAGAGCGGCCGGCAGAGGCGCGGGAGCCCCCCACCCCCCGGTGTCTATCCGATGGTGAGGCCGAACCCGCACTGGAACTTGTTCTTGCGGTGGTTGAGGAAGGCGCCCATGGCCAGCGTCAAGGGCAAGGGGGGGAGCTTCTTCTCCAAAGTGGCCCCCACAATCCAGTTGCTGTCCACGGAACCTGCCGAGGGAAAGACGGGGTGTCAAAGGGGGCCGGAGCAAAGCCAGGGGGCGGGACAGAGACCTAGAGTTGGAAGGGGCCCCCAAAGGCCATCCAGTCCAACCCCCTTCTGCTGACATCAAGGAAAGCACCACCCGATCCCTCCCAACTGATGGCCATCCAACCATATATATGACTGAGAGATGGATGGATGGATGGATGGATGGATGGATGGATGGATGGATAGATAGATAGATAGATAGATAGATAGATAGGCAGGCAGGCAGGCAGGCAGATAGGCAGATAAGATAGCTAATGGGATAGAGGGATGGATGGATGGATGGAGAATGAATGGATGGATGGAGGGATAGTGGGATACATGAATGGAGGGATGGATGCATTGATGGGTGGATAGAGGGAGGGAGGGATGGTTGGATGGATTGATAGATGGATAAATGGATGGATAGATAGATAGATAGATAGATAGATAGATAGATAAGATAAGATAAGATAAGATAAGATAAGATAAGATAGCTAATGGGATAGAGGGATGGATGGATGGATGGATAGTTAGAGGGATAGATTGACAGATAGCTAGTGGGATAGATGAATGGAGGAATGGATGGATAGAGGGATTAATGAATCAATCGATCGATAGCTAGTGGGATATATGGATGGATGGATGGATGGATGGATGGATGGATGGATGGAGGGATAAAGGGGTGGATGAATGGAGGGATGGATGGATGGATAGAAATAGATAGATAGATAGATAGATAGATAGATAGATAGAATCCTAGATTTGGAAGGGGTCCCCAAAGGCCATCCAGCCCAACCCCCTTCTGCTGCCATCAAGGAAAACACCACGTGATCCCTCCCGATTGATGGCCATCTAATCATATATATGACTGAGAGATGGATGGATGGATGGATAGATAGATAGACAGACAGACAAACAGTATCCTAGACTTGGAAGGGACCTCCAAAGGCCATCCAGTCTAACCCCCTTTCTGCCATAAAGGAAGGCACAATCCAATCCCTCCCAACAGATGGCCATCCAGCCTCTGCTTACAAACCACCAGAGAAGAAGACTCCACCAGACTCCCAGTCTACATTCCACTAGATTTGGAAGGGGTCCCCAAAGGCCATCCAGTCCAACCCCCTTCTGCCATAAAGGAAGGCACAATCCAATCCCTCCCGACTGATGGCCATCCAACCATATATATGAGTGAGAGATAGATAGATAGATAGATAGATAGATAGATAGATAGATAGATGGAATCCTAGACCTGGAAGGGACCCCCAAAGCCATCCAGTCCAACCCCCTTCTGCTGACATCAAGGAAAGCACCACCTGATCCCTCCCAATTGATGACCATCCAACCATATATATGACTGAGAGATAGATAGATAGATAGAATTCTAGATTTGCAAGTGCTCCCCAAAGGCTATCCAGCCCAACCCCCTTCTGCCATAAAGAAAGGCACAATTTGATCACTCCCAACAGATGACCATCCAGCCTCTGCATACAAACCTCCAGAGAAGAAGTCTCCGCAAGGCTCCCAGTCTACATTCCACTAGAGTTGGAGGGGACCCCCAAAGGACATCCAGTCCACCCCCTTTCTGCCATAATGGAAGACACAATCCGATCCCTCCCAACAGATGGCCATCCAGCCTCTTCATACAAACCTCCGGAGAAGAAGTCTCCGCCAGGCTCCCAGTCTACATTCCACTAGAATTGGAAGGGACCCCCAAAGGACATCCAGTCCAACCCCCTTCTGCCCTAAAGACACCTTTTGAGCCCACTCAAGGTCTTCTCATGAGAATCGATGGTGTGTAATATTTCCATACCTCTGAACAAAAGGTTGGCTTTGGGAAGGTCCAGCTGGTAGCCGAACGTGACGCTGGTGTCCTGCATCCGAGTGCTGGCTTCGAATTCTACCCCAACTTGCAACTGGAGGAGAGCCAAAGAAAGGACGTGAAGACGGAAGAAACCAATTACCATACTCAAATATAAGCCAAGTTTTTCAGCCCCTTTTTTAGGGTGAAAAAGCCCCCTCGGCTTATACTCGAGTCAAGGTTATTTATTATTTTACTCTGTTGTTGTTGTTGTTATTATTGCAATTATTATTTTTAACTCTTTATTATTATTGGAGGAATATGTAAGCATGTATGGAGAAATACGGCCACTGGATCTTAGAGTTGGAGGGAACCCCCAAAGGGCATCCAATCAACCCCCTTTTGCCAGGCAGGAAGACACAACCAAAGCCCTCCCGACAGAGGACCACCTGCCTACCTGGTCGCTGGCTTTGTGGTAGTAGGTGGCGTGGGCCCCCGTCTGCCCGACCGTCAGGGTCCCGATCCAGTTGGGCGCCGTGTACTTCCCGGCCAGAGACATCAAGGTGCCTTCTTCTCCCGGGCGGTGGTGGTACACCAGCTCCCCGCCCAGCGCCAAGCACGGCGTGATGCTCTGCAGGTAATGCGCCACCAGGATCCCTACCAACAAAGAAGTAGACGTCAGAATCAGAGAGTTACAAGGGACCCCTGAAGGCCATCTAGTCCAGACACCTAACAACCCAAGGTATGTCCTTCACTAAAAAAAAAAAAATGATTTTGTCATTTGGGAGTTGTAGTTGCTGGGATTTATAGTTCACCTACAATCAAAGAGCATCCCGAACCCCACCAGCGATGGAATTGAACCAAACTTGGCACACAGTTCTTCCATGACTGACAGAAAATATTGGAAGGGTTTGGTGGGCAGTGTCCTTTGCTTTTGGAGTTGTAGTTCACCTACATCCAGAGA